CTTTTTTTATTAGCAGTATTAACATACCCTTAAAAGATTATATTAGTACTCTGTTTATTCCAAAATAAGGAGAAAGTTCAAAAAAAAAATAGTGATTTTAAGATAGAATAAAGGGAGTAGTATTTTATATTTTAGAAAATCTATTAATGAATTAAATAATTTATGTGATAATCTCCTTTTAATAAGGGATTTTAAATTTAAATTATATTTTATATAAATAATATGAATTAAAAAATAAAAAAAATTTAATTTCTATTGTATAACACAAAATTAATTTTAAGAACTCAAAAATGCCAACCCAGACTTAAAAAATCTCTACTGTTACTAGATAAATTAAAAAAGGTGTTTTACAACCAAAACACAGTCCACTACGAAAGATTAAACATTTTTGTTTTATTTTGGATTGAATTATACAACAAAAACATGATTTTCTTTCCCTTAATCTAATTTACTTCATATATAATGTTTATATATATATCAGAATAAATTATAAAAAAAAAAAAAAAAGATAACATTATTCTTTTTCTAAATCTTTTCTTAACCAACTCAAAATTTAAACTTAAAAATTTTAATTTAAAATCTTAAAATCTCAACTATTAAACCGCACTTTAACATTACTTTGTTACTTTCATTCAGAGTATCTTCCCAAACATGGAATGGAGACCATCAAATAAGGACGTCCAGCACCGGTTCAACTGCACAAACCTTCACCCAGAACCATGTTATCATCAAAACTCTGCAACTCTGCATGTGGGAGAGAAAAATGAAAATGTGTTGAGAACATTGGCGTTGGCATGCACTTACCTTTAACGTTGCTAAATGATCATGTCGATATGCCTTTAATTACTCTAGTAGCTATTATGTGAATAGCTACAGATGTTATCTGCCCATCGTACTCTTGGATACTGCATTTTTGGATTGGAGTTGCGGTCTCTTTACATTGTGCAAACCACTGTCACTAACACTACCTTCAAGAATATTATTATGAGCATCAGATAATTCACTATTCATGAGTTTTAAGGGAATAAGATAAGTGTCATCTTTGGATCTCTTCATCTGCTCCTGATGGCGTTTCACGTTTTCAGATATCTGATGGAAAGTTTCATTTATTTTTGCGATTCCCCTTTCAACTGGTTCGACAACATGCGAAACTGTATATTTCATATCATCAACAATCTAGAAATAGAAAGATAGAAAAGTCACAAAGTCAAGCCATGATTAATAGGTTTGAACTTGTCAACATAAAAAGCCACGAATGATTCTTTAAAAGAAAAATGGTTAAGAGTCTTACTATTTCACCACTTCCAAAGACAACATCATGAACACTCTGAGGAAAATTTAGACGCTTTTCACTCTCATCATGTCGACCCGTGCGTATTCTAGTAGATCGCTCACAGTCCCGAACCACTTCTGGATCTGGTGGTGCCCCTAAAGATGCATAGTCAGTGATTACAGACACATTACGGACACATCTTTCTCCACGCTTGTAAGGTACTGCAGGGAAGACATAAAGATGCACAATGGCAGCAACACCCATCTGTTTGACAAGCAGAAGAGCATGAATTTAAATCTTTGGCCTGAAATTGAAGAGATCCAACAAAGAAAGAAACAGGAAAAGAAAAAACAACAGACAGTAAAGCAATTTCCCATTGCAACACATACAATGGTTGGTAGATCTTAGAATTCTAAGATCTTCACAGCTCACTAATTACAATTAAAGCTAGTTATTGCATTGTCTTTAAGTACATGTCTACATCTTTTAGCAGCAAGAAACACATAGACATCCTCCCAGCCATATACTAATACTGATGAATGGTTCTTTTTTTCCAAGAAAAAAAGATGCTTATGGTCAATGTACTCACCTCAATACATATGATGTAGTCTTGTATACGTGTCTTTAACTCCTGAGCCAAAGACCCCTTAAAAACTCCCATGGAAAAGAGAAATGCAACAGCTACACCTTGCCACCAGGTCAAGAAAATAATTGACTTGAATGTCAGAAATTTAGCCAATGGTTTGATTGGCTCCAACTTCTCTTTAGTGACAGAATAGAACTGAACCAAACAATATAATGCCCAGCTCTGACTAAAATTAAGAACAATAGCCAAGTATGGGTACCTGCGAGAAAGAGAGTTTCAGAACAAGAAGAAACATTGATGGTCAAGTGTCATAAATATGTTACTTTTCAAAATTCTAATGAATGGACACAAATAACTTAGCCGTATCTCCATTCAAACATCCCTTCTCCATAAACTCCAAAGGACTCCAGAATCATAGCAAGTAGTGCACATATCATCTTCAGTATCATCTGAAAAATAAAATGTCTTCATTAAGCACTCAAGACCAAGAAGACTCGAATTCCAAGGAGAAGCTAACAATCAGATGGAAAATTTTAAATAAATAAGTACTCAACACATACATATTGAACAATGCCAATCTTTACAGCATAATAGAATTCAGAACCAAGATTCCAATGACTCAGAAAACAGTTCAATGGAAAAGGATGCTCAACAACCCGATAAGCATATGAATCTTCCAATAGGGGAGTCTTGGAAGTGATTATTGCCCGGCTTTCCATGAATTCAATTGTACGTTCCTCCCCACCTTCAGGCACCATTTAATTGACAAGTCAAAATCAGAAGCAGAGAAAAAAAAAGAATCAAATCATGAAAGCAAAATTGTCAATAATTAAGGCCATCACAAATATTTCAGAAAACGCTCAATTAGAGTCCACTAATGGACAGTCCAACCCTTTAAAATTAGACTTCCAAGCTGGAGGTCTCAAGTTCAAAACCTTAGGACAGGTGGGTAGGGATTTGGGAATGGACAGGCTATCCCCTATTGGCAACCCACTCACAGAAAAACCAAATAAAACCTTACTAGAATAAGTAAAAATAGAAGCCAAGTGATATACAAGAATGAGCAGATTACTGAATATATACAATCTCCATAACACAAGTTATATATTAGGACTTAGAACCCCATAAAACCAGTGTCCTTTCCAGATAAACTATAGTATTATTTAATACAAAAGAGAGTTCCATATTTCAACTTAATTGTTTTCTGCAGTGTTGAGTGATAACTGTTCAGGATGCATGTTCTCAATTGAATGATGCAGTTAATGCAAAACATGTGCAACTTTAATTGAACAAAATAGTTGAAATTTATTCCTTCTCGACAACAGCTTCTCACCACATGAACTACAACATATGAAACTAATATTCTGGATTGCCTAAGTAGAAGTCAAATTCTTCTCTTCAATTCAACATGAAAGACAAATGCCAAACCTCAAACTCCTGCACATCAATAAAAATGCACCTTCTCTATCATGAGATGTCACTCAAGCAGTTTGTCTAAACAGATAACTTCACAGATTACCAACAGAGACTAATGCTAAGATTTATCCCAACAGTGGTCAAGTAAGACATGGAACTTAAAAATTTTTCTAGGGAATGATGCCATTATTTTTCCACTAATAAGAGCATCGTATTGAAAGTTTTATTGAAAACCAACTCTGAGATACATAACAAAAATTGAGTAGTTGAAATGAGAAATGGCATGTGTGAACAATCTTCTTTCATACCTAAACAGGCTATCAGATATCTCTCAAAGCAATACAATGCAAAGGCTTCATAACAGTCACGAATTGGAAATCAAAATAGACCAAAAACCGATTTCAAAATCGAATAACTCCATAATTAGTAAGAGGAACGGGAATTCTAGCGGAGCAAGAGACAGAAAGAAAGGAAAAAAAAATTGAAATGCAAGACTCTCTGCCTATTTAATCGAGTCTTTGAGAAACTTAGAAAACAGAAAAGAGAGTGAGTTTGAGAATGGCTTTCCCACGTCTCCCACCAATGCCGCTGGCTCTGATACTCCTCGTCCTAGTCCTCCGGATTCAAGCACCCAATTCAAACTTACTGTGATTATAGGGGCCATCGTTGCGATTGGGCTCCTTCTGTTCGTCGTCTTCCTCGTCTGCCGTCGCGGTAAGGGCGATAAAAAGCACGACATCCCTGAGGCATTGGCCGAGATGGTGGAATCCTGCGTTGCAGCGCCTGTCGTCTCTGTGGATATACAGTTCTGAAGCAGATGAAAATATCACCTTTCTTTTTCTGTTTAGGTTTTAGTTTATGTTCTGTTCTAGGTTTTATGTTAAAATCCTAGGTTTCCTTCTCCTCACCTGATCCGAAACTTCAATAAAGTTTCTGTCATAAACTAAAACCTAGAACAGAACATAAACTAAAACCTAGAACAGAAAAAGAAAGGTGATATTTTCATCTGCTTCAGAACGGTATATCCACAGAGACGACAGGCGCTGCAACGCAGGATTCCACCATCTCGGCCAATGCCTCAGGGATGTAGTGCTTTTTATCGCCCTTACCGCGACGGTAGACGAGGAAGACGACGAACAGAAGGAGCCCAATGGTAGACGAGGAAGACGACGAACAGAAGGAGCCCAATCGCAACGATGGCCCCTATAATCACAGCAAGTTTGAATTGGGTGCTTGAATCCGGAGGACTAGGACGAGGAGGATCAGAGCCAGGCGGCATTGGTGGGAGACGTGGGAAAGCCATTCTCAAAAAAAGAAGAAAGAAAGAAAGAAAGAAAGAAAGAAAGAGAGATCCGAGTGCCTTGGGGTGCTGGCAGGAGAAATTTCAAGTTCCCTACTGCTTGTAATTTGATCTGGAATTTAGGTACAGTACTCTCATTCAATTTCATGTAATTTATTTACAATTGAAATGAGAAATTTATCAAGCTTTTGCTCTGATTATTTTGTGTTGATATTGTGAATACTTGAATTCACCAAGTTTAAGGGACCAACCCAAGATTGGGTTTCCCTTAAATTCCTCCCTGTTCAATTAATACTTTTTTTCGTGCGCATTTTGTTCTAGAAATTAGTGGTATGGGTTTGTTTAGTAATGTTTTGTCAACTTTATTCTCTTTTTTTTTTTTCCTTTTTTTTTTT